TAGTTAATTAAATTGCAGTTAAACATATTACAGGGTTTTTTTTTATATAAGTTAAATCAAAACGTTGATGTTGAGTAAGATTTCTTCATGATGGACGAGACTCTCCAAATGGACTAGACTGACCTGACCGTAAAACCTTGTTGAAATCCAGGAAGCAGGAAGTAGAAGTTGGGCCGAGTACAGGATGGCCGCTCCCCAGACATGGCAGCATGGTATTAGGCCGGAGTAGGCGTAGGCCTACACGTGTAGGCATCTCCATCAGCGGGTACGGCAGTGGTACGGCGCAGTCCCCATCAGTTCAGGAGAATGCTCATGTGAAATCGGTTAGCATCTAATGGTGGCAGGCTTCAGACGGAGTCACCGACCCTGATACAAAGTATGGATCACTAACCTGGCCTAATTAAGGTTAACATGTCCTAGAGTCCATTTACATAGTTTGCACTAGGCCTGAATAAATCGAAAGGGCGTAAAACATTCTTTTTACCTGCAGTCAGCAACCACATTTTTACAAAAGTTGTTCTAGTATAAACTAGCTTAATAAACATGATTTTTTGGAGAAAAGTAAAATGATCTCACATAAATAAAAAAACCATGAATGTGCTTGCTTACTGTTCACAAGTTAAAGGACCAACAAATGGATTTTTTTTTAATGTTATTATCTGGGATGGCTAGGCTACTAGAATTGACCAGAACAAATTTTAGGCTAGTAAAAAGTTACTAGCACAAACAAAGTTAGAACTAGCTCAGAAACTTTTAACATGATTGGGTCCAGACTAGCTCACAATTGAACACAAAAATTACACAAATGATTTAAAATGACATAGAAATAATATTAACGCTTTACTAACTTGATATTTTAACCTTAAACATGAAAATAGGCTCAAATTGAAATATCACTTGTACTGACAAAGTTAACTCAACGAGGCATGCACATTGTGTTATCTGGTGGAGTCGAAACTCTCAGAAAACAGTTCAATAAACATGAAAATAACTCTGGAAAACTTTTTTGAACAATAGTAAAACAGTAAAATGAAACAGACAGAAATAAGCGAGGACTAGGCCTGGCGAATCCTACTTACCCGTGGATGAACGAACTCTAGCTCAATTTTGTGCGTAGTGAAAACGACCTATGAAGAAAATCTGCAGGGTTCACAAAAGGAAAACTCTACCGGATGAGGACCCCATATTAAGAGCAACCTCGAACCCCGAAAATCTGAGAAACGGGTGACACAAGTTACCAGATGAAACGTCCGGCAGACGCAGCCAGTGAGTACCAACCGTGCAACAACTTAAACCTGTGCTGTTGAGCGTTGAGCACGTACACACGGCACACAGGTTTCCTCCCTCTGGAGCATAGCTTCAACAATGTTGTCGGGAGGGGCTTATCCCAACTCCGCGCACTGGTCAGAAATCTGTCAAAACCGACTGTCCAACTCCGCGCAGTGGTCACTTCGGATCCCTCGCGGCACATGCCCAACTCCGCGCAGTGGTCAATTTTGGCTCTCACAGCCCTGACGGCTGAGAGTTTGTGTTTGAACTTTGAAATTGTGTTATGCTTTATGTTATGTTTATCATTTATAGTAAAGTAAAGAGATAAGATATACCTAAAACAGGAAATGAAGCTTAAAACCCACTAATATAAGAAGTTTGAAAAAGTCTGCGAGAAAGAGTGACTGTCAATTTATACGTTCCAAATTGTACAATACTCACTCATTCATATTACTGGGCTTATGAGCTCTCTGAACTTTAATACCAAGTTCAAAAATATTAGTTTTGTATACAACCACAGATTGCTATAACAAATTAGCTGTAATCTCTGTTTCATACAACAGTTAGCTACACACGTCAAATTGGAAAAAAATGGCCGACAAACTTCTATGTTTTTATGACTTGAAACAAAGTTATATCAATACTTAAAGCAGTATAGCAATTTTAATAAAACTTCAGACTTCAAAATTGACTTTATATTTAATTACTCTACGTACAAAATGTTCAAAATTTCATGGCAAGTGAGCCAAAATTGGTCAAATTAATCATCGTTAACATAAACATCGTGTATATTATAAAAAAAAACTTTTCATTTAAATACCTGGACTAAAAATAAAATACAAATATTAGCCTACTAAAATTTTATAAGTAAAATATTTACAAATTTACAAAAGTTACACTTATTTCAAACCATAATAAATTTAAATTAATATAGTTAAACAATAATTATAAGCCTTAAAATGCGAAGCAATTGCTTAGTAAAACATTTTACAATCGTAAATATTTTAAGGATTACAGTACCGGTAAGTAATATCTTATAAATTTTTCAGAAAAACTAAATCATATTATTGGCAAACCTCAAAAACAAACTTATACTTTTAATTTGATTACAAAAAGAATTTTAAAATGTTTCCTTTGTTAAATGTTATTGGAAGGGATAATAAATTAAGTTTTGTTATTCATTAAAAAGTCCATTGTAGCCACTTTTAGATGCAGAGCTAAGTTTTTTTTTTTTTACAAAAAAAGAGATTACAGCAAATTTGCAGTATATTGCTGTATAAAAAGGTAAAATCCGTGATCGCAGCACACTAGTGTAACGTAAAGCTCATGAAATCGTTAATAAAATGTATTAGCATATTAAATAATTGTGTGCTGTGAATTTCAGAAACTTCCATACGTATCACTCTTCGCACGGACTTTTTGAACTTCTTACATTGTGGTTTTTAAGTTTCACCTCCAATTGTGAATCTATAATTTTGCATGTATAATAAGCTAAAATATTTCTTTTACGTCTTACTAAATGCCGAATTTGACGTCTATGAAGAGGATTTTCATTGAAGCCAGACCCAGACCAACGTGTTAGTGAATTTCCCATATAGGGAATAAGTTATTACCGTAGGTATTATGGTAAGACCTGGACCCACTGATTTAATTTTTCGTTTTTATGTCCCAAAGGTCGAAAACACTTTCCGTTCGAATTCATATAAATATAGATGTCCGTTAGCACGATAATTCGAGCAAAAATTATCCAATTTTGATAAAATTGTATATGAACGTTAAACCTACATTTATTCGAACGAGTTCACGAACCAGCACGATCGGACCATGGAACTGGGGTTTATAGGGAAAAAACGAGTTTTCCCAATTTTGACCCTAAAAGCATACATGTTTGCAATTTCTTTTGAAAGCAATTTGTAGAGCTTAAAGTCAAATAATTTAGTATATCGAAGTGTTATTATGCACCATAATGGTTACAGAAAAAAGGCCAACAAATTTTAATTTTATAATTCCCGTGTTATTCTTATGGAGAATAAGTAAATTGTTGTAATTACCTGTAAAAGGGGCGTATTTTGATTAAATTTGGAAATGCATTTATTTTACACTTAACTATTGACATTTCACAAAAACACTTATTACCCTGCCTCTTGCAGCAAACCTATGTGCACTCATTAAACTAATGCTATTTAAATAGGGAATAAATAGTATATTTTGAAAGAGATATTTTACTGGTAATGCAATCAGGCAATTAGAAGTTCGCTTAGGCTGCAGTTTTGCTACGGCGGGGGTATTATTGTAATAACAGCAGCAAACTTTTTGGAAACTTCAACTCACGTCCATGCAAATGTACTGTAGCCTTTGTTTTGGTAAACATTTTACCAAAACAACTACCGTAGATATTAGGAGTGGCCACCGCGCGGAGTTAGACTTGACACTAAAAGTGACCACCGCGCGGAGTTGGGCTGAACCCTTCGGGGGCCATAAAACTTTTCCTCGGATTAAATTTGACCACTGCGCGGAGTTGGGCAATCCCCGTCGGGAGTAATGTCGATGCAGATCTCAGAGATCAACGAGGCTCGGCGGACATGCCACCGGTTGCAAAATAAGAAGGTGTGTTCGGCCGTGTCTGCAATGCCGGTACATAACTTCTTGATCAGCATTGTACGTGTTATTAAATTTACGGAAAGTAATTAAAAGAAACGTCTTATAACACTTAAAACATATATTTACGCTTATACCATAAACAAACATCATGTCATAAATATAATGACATAAATATGAATATATAAATATATAATAATAATAATAATATATAATAATATATATAATAATAATATATAATAATATATATAATAATAATATATAATAATATATATAATAATAATATATATAATAATAATATATAAATATATCATGACATAAATATATGAATGTTATAAATATAATGTGTGCCACAAAATAGGCGAATCACCCATTTCGCCTATTTTGTCTAATGATGATTGGAGTGTCAAATCGAAATCGATCACCACTTACCACCTTTTTTGTATATTTACCGTCTTGTGAGTAACATTATAAGCGAAAATATATGTTTATAAAAATATATATGTTATAAGACGTTTCTTTTATTTACTTTCCGTCTTTTTGGAGCGCACTTTAGCGTTTGGCTGTGTGTTCGATAAAGAATGATTAGTATGTATTTTGTAGGAAATTTCATGATCTTTCATTTTGATGCTTAGTAAAATTTAGTAGAACGCATAGTTTCCGAGTTATAAGCAAGAAAATAAAAGAAGTGCATAGATTTTCATATTTTTTACATGTACCTCAAAACGCACAAGGCATTTTTGTTGGATCTCTTTAGATTTGGATTCAGCGCCCCAAAAAACATAGAACTAAAAAAACGTCGTCGCAGTTATTTTTGTAACGTTCAACTACCGTTTGAAGGGGAGAAAGTAAAAGGGTAAACGTGCAAGAGTTTTTTTCTTGTTAAGGCAGTGTGTAATTTACGGACAGTAGCTGCCTCCAGCCTAACGGAGTTTTGGAGTAGTAAGTAGGCCTAATAATATTTTATGTTTAAATTTGTTTTACGACTCTCGCTTATTTACAATTAATTAACAGTTGCCGAGGCTGATTTGATCTAGTTGTAATTAACAAGTTCTAACTATCCATATTTTGTAAGTTAAAACAAATGAGCTCATTTTACATATTTAGCTAAGTTTGGTGATTGTGTGTTTCAGAAACTCTCGAGAAAGCCGACGTCCAATCTTGAGGAGTCAGATTTGGCGAGAGATTCTTCTGAGAGCGAGGAGGTCGTCAGGATAGCCAGGTAAAAAGTTCCTAGGTCATTGAACCACACGAGCTAAAAAATATAGTGGTAATGGGTAATGAAAGTAGTATTGATCTTTATTTATATGTAATCGCATTTTCCATGGGTTCCCCACATTTTATGTGTGATTAGATTTACTTTCACCGCGGCGTTATCTACAGGGTGGACTAGCTCTTATTTATAATAATACCATAGATGAAGTACTCGCTACCTACCATGCCTTTCAACGGGATCAGTATGCAAAAGAGACAATGTTGGTTCTTTGAAAATGCCTTAAAAATGGTTTCACGCCTCCCATTTAATTTATTAACGAAATTGAACACTTATTTAGACTACCTAGGATCCAAAATCAGTTATAGATTGTAAGGTATAATCAAATAACATGTTGAGTAGTTTGTAATGTAAACGACAAGCTATAACAAACCTCCAAACCTCTCAATAGTGTAATTTTCTAACATTTTTAAGGAGAAATTTGAGAAAATATAATAAGGTGTATGGAAATTTGCTTGGTTTGCTAGTTTGCTGTGGTGGGGGTGTTTTATAACTGTTTCCACAAAAATATCAAAAAAATAATTCTCAACAACTTAGGATAACAGCCGAGGTCGATAAGGCAACGGATATAGAATCCATCTTATTTCATAAATGAATAATTTCTTTTATGAATTGGCGCGTTCTGGGAACATGTGCAAGTGCACTGGTGCAGATGAGATGAACCGGTGACATACTCACCGGTACCACGCAAGAGTCTTGGTATCCCAAACGGTACACATCGGATTATAATTTACACATCCACCTACTGTTTAAATTACAAAAGCTTACCCTCGCAGAATATATTATTTGAACATTATTCACTTATTACGTAATATAACCATAGAAAAAACAATATAACCTATCAAACTTATGAACATTATTCGATGGACCCGTCATCTTGCCATACCAATGCATACTTTTGTCTGAGAAACTGACCGGTCTCCCTGAACGACGCATTTTATGCACTTGTCCTGCACCGATACATCGGTTAGTGTTCTCAAAACGCGCTCATTGTCTTATTCCATATGCAATATTATTTCAGTATTCAATAATGGGTGGAATTGTTAAATCAGTGCATTTGACAGTTCTAAATGTTTTAATCTAAAAATTATGAGTTTGTTCTATGTTGCCATGGATACCAATCAATATTTACTTTTTAAACTCTCACCTCAGAACTTTGAAAGCCCACGGGGCATAGCCCTATGTCAATATCGAATCACAATTAGCTCTTTCTATATGTATCCTCGAAGCTGTAGCTTTATTTAGGTCCAATTCGAGCCCAGTCAGTTCAGTAGTTTTTGAGTTCAGCTCCTACAAACACACAGACTTCTTTGTTTTTCCTTAAGACGGTTTTAGTAATATTCACAGCAGCTTCTGCAGAGCCGGTACTTTCATGATGCCCTGTTATTAGTTTGAGTTGTAATTTTGTGCAACAATTTTAAACTCTGCCTTTTCTAAGACGGTCCGCTGAGAATTAAACTGAAGCCACGGTTTGATCTAAACTCGAAAGGAATTCCGTGATGACAAAAGAACGATTGAATTTTTCTATTAACTCACTTGTAAGTTACTTAATGTTTTAATGTTGCCATTTTAAAGTATCAATTGTAAAAGTCCGTCATTAATAGAAACCAGGTTTCATCAAGATTGAACAAATCTATGCATGTTTTTTCTAATGGACGAGAAGGAAGTTCAGTGGTGATTAGTGGTTCATGATGCTGGAATATTAATTCTGTGCAATTAGGAGACTCGTTTGAAATGTTCCTTCTATAATAGAAGATATGCCAGGCCACCACATGCTTTGACTTGCTCTAAGTCGGCATTTACTGATACTAAAATGTCCAGAATGAATTATTATATTCAGCATGTCGGTTTAAGTATACAAGTAACTTTATGTTAGAGTATATGTAAACCTTGAGTCATTTTGAATGATGAGTATATCTCCTTTTAGCAAAATACCTTCACAGAAGAATATTTATTTATTTATGGAGTTATGCGAAAACTATTCATGTTTATTTGACCATGTTTTTTTTCAAAGAATGCTTAAAATACCTTAAACGCACTTTTTTATATCCTAGATCGTTAGGATCTACCGTCTGGAACTAAAGGCTCTGTATGGATTTTTCTCGTTATGCTAAAAAGAATAATTTGAGATATTAGTGTTAACAATTTACCCATCGATGGTGTTACAGTGTAATGACACGGTTGCCTGAGAACCGTCTACCAGACCGGCGTCTGCGCTACTCCGACAACAGTTCCCGCGTATCTTCGATTAGGCGAGAGAGCAAGGCGGCGCAGACCCTGAGCATCGTAGTAGGAGGCTTCATCGCCTGCTGGCTGCCGTTCTTCCTCGCCTATCTAGCACACCCCTTCCTCAATCCTGGATTTATCCCGGAAAAAGTCATGTTTATCCTCACCTGGCTAGGTAAGCGATATATGCATAGTACCATAAAAACTCACCGTAGATTTGCCCAAAACCAATCTTAAGTAATAACATCAAATATGGAGTAATAGATAACGTAAAATGTGAGAGAATGGATTAAAACGTATAAAACGTATAAAACGTATTTTGAGGTCCCTAGAGGCCTAAAACACCAACCGTTCAAATTCATATACAGGGTGTCCGGTCATAAGTGTTAAATAAAATTTTGCATTAAACTACATGGTAATGGTGACAGAATGTCGCAAATTTGAGGTTCCCAACTTCAACAGTTAGAGAATAACAAATAAATTAAGATATTTCAAAAATTATTGTAGTTGTTATGAAAAAGGTTATTTTACTCTGTTAAAAATGCACTTACTGTCAGTTTCAATGTCATTTTCAGAATCCTCACAAAATTTTAAATAAATATAACACATAATCGTTGGGGTACGTAAAAATATTATATTTAAAATTCTTCGTTAAACAAATTATTTTTATATCGACGAAAATGTAAATAACATTCAGCAATTTATTTCTCGGTTGTTGAGTTCCGGCGAGGTTATCAAATATGACTAAAAACTTCCTTATTTAAAGGGCTTTACAATGATGTATAACAACATTTACCTACTGTCAAATCCATGGTGAATTTTACGCACTATTGTGAAAAATCACGGTCAAGCCAAAACAGATATTGTAAAAAATAATAAAATTTTACTTACTATTTTATGAGCTGACCACTGATGATGAGGGTATGTATAATTTATGATTGACCAGACTACACTTCCATCAAACTAAAGAGTTTTTTTTTAAGACTTTGGAAAATTTGTAATTAAAAAACACAACACATTAGTAAAAAACATAATACACACTACAATTTAAATATGAAATGATAGTTAACCCATTAAACAAATCAATGACACACTTTGTCCGAAGCACAAATCACAGTTTGGGTGTAAAGTGCCCACCGTTTTCCCGCAAGCAGGCCCTAGCTCTTTTGCGGATTGCGCCAACTGTGACCTCATACGTCAATTTTTCCCTTACTTTCCCAGCAGCCTCAAAGATTCTCTCCCGTAACTCAACTTCAGAGTTTACAACAGTTGAGTAAACTAGACTTTTCATGTAACCCCAAACAAAAAAATCTAACGGGCTCAAGTCTGGAGATCGAGGAGGCCATGTCACACTTCCTCCACGTCCAATCCATGTCGGGTAGTTTTGGGATAGCCACAACCGAACGCTTTCAGTAAAATCTATACACTAAAAACTATTATACACCATTGTAAAGCCCTTTAAATAAGGAAGTTTTTAGTCATATTTGATAACCTCGCCGGAACTCAACAACCGAGAAATAAATTGCTGTATGTTATTTACATTTTCGTCGATATAAAAATAATTTGTTTAACGAAGAATTTTAAATATAATATTTTTACGTACCCCAACGATTATGTGTTATATTTATTTAAAATTTTGTGAGGATTCTGAAAATGTCATTGAAGTTGACGGTAAGTGCATTTTAAACAGAGTAAAATAACCTTTTTCATAACAACTACAATAATTTTTGAAAAATCTTAATTTATTTGTTATTCTCTAACTGTTGAAGTTGGGAACCTCAAATTTGCGACATTCTGTCACCATTACCATGTAGTTTAATGCAAAATTTTATTTAACACTTATGACCGGACACCTTGATACCAGCATCAAGAACAACCCTTGGTATATCAAGCAACAAGTCCTGTCTAGTTCTGCGCTCTCTCACGGCCGACATAGCTTTCAGTTTTTCCTTCAAGTACTGTGCTGCCTGATACCTACATATGCAACCTGCTTATCACAGCTCTCTCAGACGGACATTGTATTTGACATCCTACGGTGACTTGAGTATGATCATATTTTTTAAGGTTGTATATGAACCTTAGGGGGCAATTATGTAGCCTGTGAAGTATTGTGATCTGTTCCTGTGTTAAACTGTATCCAAAAACAGGTAGGCATTTTAAGTAGGGAATATCAGGAATTTTACCGACCTCAACTTGATGTTTGCTGGGAGCAATGTTCTAAACCTATTAAGTACTTTTAATTTTTCAACAACATGTTTGCTTATATTTTTGAAATGGCTAGAAAAAGTCAGCTGTGAGTCAATTGTCACCCCAAGAACCTTAATGCTTTTGGAAATGGATAGCTCTGAGTTATTTACTGTGACTTTGATGTTGTGTGTTTCCAGCTGATCATAGATTGCTGCATTAGCAAAGTGCATAGTGGGCCATTTTTCAGGGTTTAGCTTTAACCCATGATTCTTAGACGATTCACAAACCTTTGAAATGTCACTACTCACATGTTGTAATGCTTCCCCAACCAAAGTCGGCTGGTGTGATAAGAAGATTTGGCAGTAATCACCATTACAATACATAATCCCGAAATCCAATACTGATTCAATACCTACTATATACAGATTGAAAAGGATAGGACCAAGACAACTTCCATGGGGGACAACCGACTGATGTTGTCTTAAGATACATTAATTAACAACAATGCATGTAAACGTCACTATTTATGTAACAATTTACAGTATTTGCTTATGGAAATGCAGCATTGCATTATCATTCACATTATTTGTTGACAATGAAGCCGCATGACTATACGACGAACGAGGTCCTCATTTCAAGAATAAACGCCAGCTTCATTACAAGTATATTCCACTACAACTAACATTCTGAAGAGAGATTATATTGAACACTTTATGTAATTGATAAGGCTGAGACAACTGACATCCGCATGTCATGGAATCAAAATTATGCTAAAAAAATTATTATTGTTAAAATTGGAGGGTTATTCATTTGCACATTAGTACGGTATAATGTCTGACGTGATGAAGGAAAAATAAAACTTACACTGCAGCAAAAACAGCTGTTTTTAATGCATGCGTTGCGGGTATAAAGTAGCATTTTTACTCTTTAGGGAGTAAAAATAATTTTTAGCCCCTAAGGAATAAAATCAGCTGTTGCCAACTCAGTTATAAATTTCGATTGTAAAAAAATGCATGTATCGAAAGTATGTATCGATTGTGTAATCAATCGTTGTTAATTGTTGTCTTATTGTAAATAGTTCGACATATCGATAGTATAATGTACACTAACACAATCTATACCTACTTATAAAAGGCAAAGCCCTCACTGACTAACTGACTCACTGACACACTCACTCATCACTAATTCTCCCACTTCCCATTTACCTAGGAGGCTGAAATTCGGTACACCGATTCTTTGGGCATTAAATAGGAAAACTAAGTAGTTTTTATTCTGATCGGGCTTTCGGGCTCCACCCCAGTGGCTCTGGAGTTTCCCATGTTAACCTTATGATTTTTCATATTGAAAAGGAATTAATGAATCTTAACAGCTGTTTCAATTAAACAAGTTGGTTCTGTTCTATGATGTTCAATAGCATTAAAGTTACAAGGATTACCAACAGGGTGCAGCACTATTATTTTTTTAAATTTATGACAACAGCTAATTTGCAACCAAAAGGTGAGTGAGCGTAGCGAACGAACTTCTACCTGGAGGCGAGTTAGCGTAGCACACGAGCTAACCTGAAGGCAAGTGAGCGCAGCGAACGAGCTCCAACCCAAAAACGTGAACATTCGTTCAGGACGTGATTGAGCCATGCGAACGAGCTCATCTTGAAAATTAAGAAATTAAACGGGGCAAAGCCCGCGGGTACAGCTAGTCGTAATATACGAAACGGTTAAATAACCCTTACTAAACAGCTGCTTGTTTCCATTTGAAAATTAAATTGAAAACATGTTAGAAGTTTTGAGAAGTTATCTTTTTTAAATTACAACTTTTTTAGAGTTGTAACTTATTTGTTTAAATAATGGTGTAATATGACAAAAATATTGTTCATCACACGGACAAAAGTGTCTTTTCAAACTCACTCAGTTTGCGTAAAACTTGAGCTCGGGTCGAAAAGAGTCACTTTAGGCTCTAGTGATGAAACATACTATGAAACATAACCATATTAGTTAGCTTTGTTATATTAAAAAAATCTTCAGACCTACATTCAAAAGTTTATTTTATACGTTTGTTTGTTTTTCAGGATGGATTAACTCAGCGATCAATCCATTCATCTATGCATTCTACAGCCCAGACTTCCGGTTAGCGTTCTGGCGGCTCACAGTTAGACATTGTACACCTCGACCACCTCCTTGCCGTCAACTCAACAGTTGTAGCAGGCCTAGTATACTACTGAGAGAAAGTGTTGTCACTGGCTATCCTCGACCATGATGTCAGCGACCGTCCCGGCGAGACAGGGACGCAACAGTCTAGAACTGTGACAATAACAGTGGGACATTATACACCTATACCACCATCGTGTTGTCAACTCAACAGCTGTAGCAGGTTCAGTATACTGCTGAGAGAAAGTGTTGTCACTGGCTATCCTCGACCATGATGTCAGCGACCGTCCCGGTGAGACAGGGACGCAACAGTCTACAACTGTGACAATAACAGTGGGACATTATACACCTATACCACCACCGTGTTGTCAACAGCTGTAGCAGGTCCAGTATACTGCTGAGAGAAAGTGTTGTCACTGGCTATCCTCGACCATGATGTCAGCGACCGTCCCGGCGAGACAGGGACGCAACAGTCTACAACTGTGACAATAACAGTGGGACATTATACACCTATACCACCACCGTGTTGTCAACTCAACAGCTGTAGCAGGTCCAGTATACTGCTGAGAGAAAGTGTTGTCACTGGCTATCCTCGACCATGATGTCAGCGACCGTCCCGGCGAGACAGGGACGCAACAGTCTAGAACTGTGACAATAACAGTGGGACATTATACACCTATACCACCACCGTGTTGTCAACTCAACAGCTGTAGCAGGTCCAGTATACTGATGAGAGAAAGTGTTGTCACTGGCTATCCTCGACCATGATGTCAGCGACCGTCCCGGTGAGACAGGGACGCAACAGTCTACAACTGTGACAATAACAGTGGGACATTATACACCTATACCACCACCGTGTTGTCAACTCAACAGTTGTAGCAGGCCTAGTATACTGCTGAGAGAAAGTGTTGTCACTGGCTATCCTCGACCATGATGTCAGCGACCGTCCCGATGAGACAGGGACGCAACAGTCTACAACTGTGACAATAACAGTGGGACATTATACACCTATACCACCACCGTGTTGTCAACTCAACAGCTGTAGCAGGTCCAGTATACTGATGAGAGAAAGTGTTGTCACTGGCTATCCTCGACCATGATGTCAGCGACCGTCCCGGTGAGACAGGGACGCAACAGTCTACAACTGTGACAATAACAGTGGGACATTATACACCTATACCACCACCGTGTTGTCAACTCAACAGTTGTAGCAGGCCTAGTATACTGCTGAGAGAAAGTGTTGTCACTGGCTATCCTCGACCATGATGTCAGCGACCGTCCCGGTGAGACAGGGACGCAACAGTCTACAACTGTGACAATAACAGTGGGACATTATACACCTATACCACCACCGTGTTGTCAACTCAACAGCTGTAGCAGGTCCAGTATACTGATGAGAGAAAGTGTTGTCACTGGCTATCCTCGACCATGATGTCAGCGACCGTCCCGGCGAGACAGGGACGCAACAGTCTACAACTGTGACAATAACAGTGGGACATTATACACCTATACCACCACCGTGTTGTCAACTCAACAGCTGTAGCAGGTCCAGTATACTGCTGAGAGAAAGTGTTGTCACTGGCTATCCTCGACCATGATGTCAGCGACCGTCCCGGTGAGACAGGGACGCAACAGTCTACAACTGGGGCAATAACAGTGGGACACGTGAGGTTTGATGTTAACGAAAATGATGACAGCGAGTGGTTTGAAGTGACAGGGACTTTGGTAAAGACAGTAGAATGGCTATTTAATTTGATACTCACCACCTTATTTTAGTGTGAACAGGGAGCAACGGTCAAGGATTATAACACCAATGGTACCGTTGTGATAGTAGATATTCGCAACTATAATAACCGTCTTCATGTAAAATGGGTTCCACAATCAACGACTGTGACAGCGACGACACTGATTCAGGTGTTAAATTGGCATCGCAACCAAATGGCATCGATCGTACAGACATAGCATGGACCATACTCTCCTAGAACTGTGGAAAACAAAGGACAGTTGTATCATTTGTTTACCACGACCACGATGTCAATGGCAGTTAACGAACGATGTATTTTTAAAGTTCTAACCTACTTTCAACAATTACTGTAATATATTTGGAACGCTTCCGGTTAGAACAGTACAATTAAAGTCAAAATACGTTTTTACATGAATCGTGGCTACCTACGTCATTTTTGGCTGAGACGTGGCTCGTGACGCTGTCGTTATGTAAACCACAGTCGTGACTGTCACTATACATGTTGGACAGTTGTGACAACGACTCGACGTCACTTCCACCTTACACGTCAAGAAACCGTCATGACGCTAAATAGCCATCTCTGTAGTTAAAAACAGTTTCATGATGAATGGCTGCTGGATCGTTGCGTTAACTAATTTAGGTTTAAGTTACCTGTTTTGTGTCATAGTATAATTGGCTAATGGTAATGGATCACATCATCAGGTTCAAACGTCTTGCTACATCATGGTGAAGATTATCAGTAAAGTTTAAATAAAACTAAAAATGCCTAACAAATTAAAATGACACACACACAATAATGTATACAAAATTTATAGTCTAGTGTGTGTTAATTGTTTTATGTATTTTTATTTTTACTGTATTTAAATTTCCTGGTGAGCTCTATCATAATGGATCATTATGATCCACAACAAAAACATTCGAACCTGAAGATGTCCTATATGTTACCCAGCATGGAACAGCTGTAGTTCATTACACTACCACGTTTTGACAGACAACAAGTAACTTAATTTTCATTTGTTAAAACATTTACAGAACATTCTGTAAAAGACTTGATATATACTGGATGTCTCACCTAAAATGATCTAATAGCTAACTTTTGTATTATTAGATATAGAGTTAACTTCTTACGGGGCACTCGCCTTTATTTTTTAAGATGTGTTTTGGGGTAGCTTCTAATTTTAAAAATAGATCTGCCACTTTCTAATACGGCCAACAACTTTGTTTTTTTTTTATGAAATAATCTGTAATTTATGTTTTTTATAGTTGTTTTATATTCTAAAACAGTTTTAAAACTGCATCTACATTTTAAAAAGACCATAAAATACCAAGTGTTCCAATATTAAAGTTAACTGCCATTTTTGAAAATGGTGGCCATTTTTGAAACAATGGAGTCAATATTTTTCAATCAGTCATATTTTTCACGTATTTTATATATATTTTTTAACGTAGATGCAATTTAAAGACTTATTTATTCTTATAAGAGGAGTGTCCCATAAGAAGTTAACTTTATATCTCATAGTAAAAAAGTTAGCTATTGGTTCACTTTAGGTGAGGCATCTTGTAAAACTAAAGTTTAGCAGACGTTGCATAAACTGCACACTAATTTACAACTAACCGAAAAATTCTCCTTAATGACTTTTAGCAAGATTATGGCTAACCAATGCAGTATTTTTTAAATACCCTTAATTTATTAAGCCCCTGAAATAAATAATCTTTAATTCAATTTTACAGTGCAATTATTCTTTTTACAGAGGAATCGTTCCATGCCATGTTACGAGAAACTTATAAAATAATTATCCACACAGCTTTATTAATCCCGACTGGTCAATTGTTTAAAGCCTTAGGCTACCTCTTAACTAAGTTACATTTTATGCTCATAAGAAACTAAGTAATGAAGACTTAACTTCCCTTGCCAAACTTGATCTTATCAAATTTGCATTTACATAACAACAGAGATAGTAAGGGCTGTTAAGGAATTGAAACCATGATTTTTGTTGGTCACATGTGTTGTTAAAGCGTAAACAAATCAAGTTACAAAGCTTCGCGATCCCACGTTCTACAGCTTCACAATCCCACATATTTTAAGAAAAAAATATTTTTCCTACAGTTACCTGACAAAGTGACCTTCCTTGTACTCATTATAGTACGTCAAGTAGCTAATTGCTTCATGGACTTACTTTTGCCATACTCATTTTACTTATGCCGCACTCATTTTTTCTTGCCGCACTCCAGTATTTCAACCAAAAAATACAAAACAGTGTGCTTTTGTTGTGAACGTAATACGTGTACGCTTAAAAACAAGTTGGCAACACGATACTACGACTACGATCAGATGATGCAGCGTTTCCTATTTCGTCCAACGCTTGGATTTAACCTAACCTAAACAAGTGTTGTACATTGTTTAAAAGTCTAATTATTTATATGCTTAATTGTAACTGTAGGAAAAATATAATTTGTAACGCAAATGTAAACTGCCTTTGCTGCACTCGAGAATCTTTCCACAGTCGCCTGTGGCTCGTGCGTAAATACTTCCCACGTGTGCAGCAAAGTGCCACTTCGCACGCTAGTTACACAAATAACTATTTTATTCCTTTGTTTTTCCTAATATTCTCTTAAAATTATTATAAACTGTATTAATGCATGAAAAATTAATGTGTATAATTTTTCAGCACTTAAAAGTTAAAGGAAGATTTATAGAGTTTCAGATACAATGTTTGTAATTTATCTTTTTTATAGTAACGTGAGCGAATCAAAACAAAGAGTTATAAAATAAAAATGTTAATATCCAAATATGTAAAAAAGTGCTAAAGGGTAAAGCCATGTAAATATTGCTGCAAGCTTTTACTGAACTGTATTTTGTAAATAAATTCTCTTGTACCAGCTTGTATATTGATAATGAGTGTTATTTTTACTTTTCATTATAATAATCTAGATTTGATCTCAGGTATATAAGCATTCTAGTCATTAATATAATAAAATTGATATTCATTATCTTGTAATTGTATATACACTTATTAACCTAGTCCACGTAATGATTCGTTAAAAGCCTTAAGTTACTCGAACGTACAACTACACACTTTGGAGTAAATTTTATGACGAATCAACGTCTGCATGGTCAGTATTGACATATTTCTCAATATATGTTCAAATTTTCTTGGCAACTGCTCCTCGATGCATTAAAAAAAGAGAATCATATAACACTAAAACAATTGAAAAGTCTTTTGAGGCTTTTTCCAAGATATAATCATATTTTTTATGTTTTTGAAACTACTATGATCTAATAAGGACTCCGGTTCAAATCTTACAAAATAACCAATTAATTTTATCCAAATGTTAATCCCGCAACCTTTTGGGCCCAGCCTGAAGTAAAGCTCGAATGATTCTGATTTAGAGCATAGGCCTATATCCTTGAATGTGAAGCTGACCGAGACATAAAATGAAAAATTATAAAA